GTGGAGCACTGGAATGGGTTGCTTACCGAGGGGGTGGAATCTCCACCCCCTGACGGTTTTCACGTCCCGGCTTGACACAACCCTGGCTGGGATGATTTTGTTGGGGATTGGAGCTGCTTTGAGCAGCGGGTTGGACTAGATGACCTCCTGTGTTTTTTTCTAACCCTACTCTTCTGTGATTCAATGACTTCCTGAGACTCCCTGATGCTTTGAAGGTGTGTGCAAGGAGGTCTACATTTCTGCTGACATACCATTTCTGAATGTGGCTCTGTGGGTTGAGTGACTTACTTGTGGGCCCCCCCCCCCATAAATCTGTTCCAGAAACAGGGCTTGAATGTGCAACTCTCATTTGCTAGCTCAGACCAGATTCAGTTGATCAGAAGCTCCTCAGCAAGTCGCTTCCCTGGAGTTTACTTTTCTGTGCAGTGGGGATAATAGTCCATATATACACAAAGAGATTGTGTTTCAAAGAGACCTGGGGAAAGAACTGTCATGATTTTAGCACTGTACTCACCATGTCCTCTTGCTTTAATGGCAGAAGCATACATGTGAAGGCAACTCATCGAAGGACCAAAAACAGACCCAGCCAGAAGGACCATCCAAGGAAAAGGTACAGTGTGAAAGGCAATGTGTTGTTTTTTGGTGTGTTCCTTGAAGTACCAGCTCTTCATCTTGCTGATCTCGGCAACTTCACAGCATCTTCATGTAGCAACAGTAGCATTCACATCCCAGTTGTACTCTTTTTCCTACTCCCTTATTTGGAATTTCTCCTAAAATCTTGGTTGTTGGTTGTTTAGTTTGTTTACTACATTTTCAAATGCTCAGGGGAAACCTGGTGAGCAATGCAAGGGCTGTTCCAACGCAGATAACACTAACTGATTTCTTGGAAAGACATGTGCCTTGGGGTACAGAGAGAGAGGAAGGGATTCTAATCTCAGACCCCTTGGTGTGATAGAGGAGGGGTCACCAGCATGTTAGAAGGCACACTCCTCCTCAGGGAAGAGCAGAGTGAAGGATTTGGAGTTACTGGACATGGGGTTTTATTCTTTGTAGTGAGCATCTTTTATATTGGTGGGAAGAGGTGATAAGGGCATCGTAACCTGCTAAGGATTGTGGTTATTTTGGGGTCTTTGTTATACTGAGACTTAGGTGGGCATCTTTGTGCTTCTATTAAGGATATTTATCATTGTTGTGTTTTTAGCATGTACCTACTCAAGGTACTTGGTTGTATGGGTAATCATCAGCTGGTGGATTTGAACCTGCAACCTCTGGAGCTTAGTGAAGGAGCCTCTATAGTGTAAGCTGCAAAGCCAGCTGATTTGCAGCTTCTGCTGTAGAGCTCCCTTGTTCTTATCTTTCGCTGTAACTGGTCTAAGTGCCACTGCATGGGACAGTGAACCATACTAGGGGTATGTCTACACTGCCCCCTCTTGCACAAAAAATATGCAAATGAGGCGAAGCGTGGAATATTGCCGCACCTCATTTGCATAATTAATGAGGCTCTATTTTTGCGCAAGAGGCTTTTGCGCAAAAAGGAGCAGTCTGCATGGCTCCTTTGTGCGCAAACCCCTCCCCCCTCTTGTGCAAAAGCCGTTCTTCCTCTTTTTTTCAGGAAAAACGGCTCTTGCGCAAGAGGGATATTCCACGCTTCACCTCATTTGCATATTTTTTGTGCAAGAGGGGGCAGTGTAGACATAGCCTAGGTGTGTGGGTTACACATGCAAGTCAGCCTGGGGGACAATCCATCCTCATCCCTCTCGCTGCATGTGTTTGAGGATTTCCCAGGTTTGAGTGCTGCAGAAAGTGGCCCTTCAGAGTGATACGGAAAACCAACCTTGCGTAGGGAGGCGCATTACAGAACTTGCAGGGTGGGCCATTGTTACAAGCATCCCCGGCAGAATATAATTACTGCCAGCATGGGCTAGGTTTGACCGTGGCTGTGCTGTCAGTCCCACCTGCTCAAATTTCAGGACACTGGTGGCTGGAGATGGAAACCAGGCCTCACCCATGGCAGTGCATGACGGAATCATTTATTCTTCAGTAACGAGTTGGTGATTCATCCTTCAGTATCTAAATGAATTGCCTTTGGGTTTGCTACACAGCGTGAGGCTGGGCTGGCAGTGAGGAATAGGCCTAGTGGATTGTAGCAAATAATTAAACCTAATCAGTGGCTGTTGTTTTTATCAGAACCATTCGACGCCATCGAACACCAAAGACGGTTGTCGGTTTTCTGAGATTGGCTGTTCGTTTAGGGTGAGTAAAACGCTGTCTGCTCCTATTCTGGAAAGCCTCCAGTAACGACCAGTCTCTACGGTCCAGCTGTTGCCATGAGCCAGCCTAGGCCCTTAACCAGCGTTTCTCAAAGCGTGCCGTGGGCCCACTTTGGGAAAGCCGCTAGCGGGCCCACGCTGCTTTGCTTACCTCAAGGGTCCGTAGCGGTGGAGCCTCATGGCTCCCATTGGCTCTGGTTTGCCATTTCCAACCAATGAGAGCCGCCCGGCTCCGGGGCTCTGGATCCTTTAGGTAAACAAAGTGATGCAGGCCCACGAGGGGCTTTCCCAAAGTGGAGCCGTGGCACGCTTTGAGAAACCCTGAACTAAACCAAGGGTGGTTTCATTTGATGGGGCTGGTTTTTGGTTTGTTTGGGAGGGATAGGTTAAGGGGTCAAATTTAACCTCCTCTTGCAAAAGAGAAGGGAAGAGCATGGAACTGGCTTTTGCAATTCATAGGGTGACATTCAGCTGGGGACACTTTTTCCCCCTGCAGTGTCCGTTCCACTCACATTAAAAGGGATGGGGGGGGGGGTCTGTAACTATTATAATTCTACAGCGCTAGGTGGTGTGATGTTCAGTTGCGTCTCAGTCTCGGCAAGGTAACTGCGTCTCCCACGGCATTAGCTGGCTTTAAAACCTGCTTTGGGTTTAGTGTGCTCTTACTGCCGTGCCCCTAGATCCCTGCTACATATTTCAGGTGCAGCGAGTGTGTTAAATATTGATCCACCTGAGAATCTAGTTGTATATTTGCATGGCAGCTTGTTAAGTGGAGGGACTTTGAACATCAGTTTCCTTGTTAATGTAGCATCTGTACAAAACTGCACAGGAACTAGGCAGCCTGTTGCTTTCTTTATCCCTGTTTCCCTTGCAGTCTGGTGCTGTGATGCCAGGCCCGTCTCTTGAAGGCCCTTACATCAGTTTATCTCCCCTGATGTTGACGGAAGTTTTGCCTGAATTAAGGCTAAATGAGGATTTGCCGTAAGCCAGTTACTTAGTTGCCATGACAGTGTCTTCTCCCAACAGGGCAGCAAAGAGAAGACAAAAGAACATGAGAAGACTGCAATGGGGACCCACTTACTGATGCTGCTGCAGCATATAAAGCAACTGAAGGCCGGTTTGTGTCCTCGTGGTGGAGCTACAAATGGCATGATCCCCCACTTAGCCACAGCAGAAGCTAAAGTGAAGGGCTTGGAAAGAAGAGTGTCTGATCTCCAGATCCAAGGGGCCCTGGAAGTCAGTGGCGATCTGGAAGTGGACTGTATTCCTGGCACATCCGTTTGCGAGGAAGAGTCAATTCTGCAACAGTTTGTGCGGGAGAAAGTGATCACGGAGCTGGAGAACAAGTTGCACGTGTTTGAGAATATCGTGGCCGTGCTCAACAAGGAGGTGGAGACCTCTAAGCTAGAGATCGCGGCCTTTCGGAGGCAGAGTGGACTTGATCAAGATATAATACAAAGCCTAGAAGTGAAGGTAAATGCTGATTATGGCTCTGTGTTCATATACAATTGGTGTAGTTAGTAGATAGGCACAAAATCATGGTGAGTGGGTCTAAACACAGCAATGGGAGCCACAAACTCTTGCGTTCTAATCCCATCTGCAAAATTCCTTGTATAGCTTTGAACAGGTTTTCATACCTGGGTCTCTAAAGCAGACCTCTAAACCCATGTTTAGGACCCTAAAAGGTCTGAGGAATTATGGGTGCTTAGAACATCTTGGATTCAGGTCATAAGGGAGCAAGGTGCCTGGGATCAAATACACAGGATGAGCCTCTGAAACCAATACTGTGCATTTAAAATATTACTGCTCAAGGTGTTTTTGCTCTCTAACGATTAGTACCTCGCGTTTAAAAAACCCCCACCGATACTGAGAGAGCACAGGCGACCACCCTTGCATTGTTGAGCTGCCTCCATAACAAAGTGGGTTTGAACAGGATTTTTTTTTCAGATTACAGAGCTGCACCGATGTCTGACGCAGAAAGATGCAGGCTTGAGCAAACTCCATACGCGCCTCCAGTCTTTCGAACAAGCGTCCTATGATGGAGTCTTTTTATGGAAAATTACAGATGTGAGCAGAAAGTATCATGACTCGGTGACTGGAAGAGTAATCAGTTTATATTCTCCAGGTAAAACACATCAAGTCTACACACACTAGTAAAATTCAGCTCTTGAAAAGCCTGCTGATGTTTCGAGAGTGATACTTCTGTGTGCTCTTTTGACTAGGAATTCTTTAAAATATTGCCCGGAACAGTGGTGGGCCATATGCAGCTCCTCAGGATTCTCTGTGTGGCCCGCAAGATATTTTGTTTGACATTAGCCACCCGCAGGCTTGCCAGATTCCACTGCTTTCTGTCTGTGTTGGTTTTTTTCCTACCGGTGTTACTAAAGTAACATTGCCCTTCCAGCCAGGGCACATGAAGCGCGGTGCGGGCTGATAGCACCCAACGTTGGCTGTGAGAGTTGGGTGCTTCCTCTGCAGCCAATCCCAGCCCTGCTACGGTTCAGTCAGCACCCCCCACAAATTCTAGCTACACCAGCGCAGGTCGCAAAATTGCCCTATCCTGGGAGACTGCCTTGGTTCCGACAATCTTGCGGCCCTCTTGAGAGGAAGGAGGGCCACTCCTGTGGCCCACTCACTAGCCTCGGTTGCCCATCGCTGGCCCAGAACTAAGATGCTATTAATGAAAGAACACAGGAGTTCTGTCTGTGTTACAAAACAGCTTCCACTCTGTAGTTATAGTTTGACCCTCTACCACGGGATTGCCAAGGAATAGGGTTGCCAGATACCTTCACAAAAAATCCCGAACAGGCAGGGAAAAATTGGCTGAGCAAAAAAAAGAAAAGGGGGGGGGGGAGTTGCTGTGCCTTTAAATTACTGCGCTTCTCGCTCCCCCCCCACCCTCTCAGATGCCACTGGCCATCTTTTTGAGAAAAAAAAAAGGCCTCTGTGCCTTTAAATTACCACGCTCCTCACTTCCCCCGCCCTTGCAGATGCCGCAAGCCTTCCGTCCGAGGAAAACAGAAAGTACCGGACATTTTACATGTCCAGTATTTTCTGGGGTTTTTTTACCGGACAGAAGGCCAAAATACCGAACTGTCCAGGTGAAAACCGGACACCTGGCAACCCTACAAAGGAAGGGAGCCCAAAGGCCAAAATACAGTGCCAAGTGCCTGACTCAAGCAGATGTGCATCATCAGGGCCGGCCCACAAAATTTTGGCACCTGAGGCAGGGAGCTCAAATGACTCCCCCATAACCCCTCGCTGCATCAGCCGCAGACACAATTTTCTACACTCGGGGTCCTAGTGACGCCCCCCCACAGTCTGGCACCTGAGGTGACCACCTCAGTTCACCTGATGGTAAGGCCATCCCTGCGCATCATGGATGACTGGGTGTATGTGTTGGGGGGAAGGGAGTATCCAGTCACTCTTCAGAGGCTACCCCAGCCTGATGTCACTGGTCTGACAATAGCTGAACTTTAAAAGGCCTTACGCTGACCTTCCTTAGTGTGCATACAACTGCTTCTGCACCCCCATTTTTTTTCTCGTCGTCGGAGCAGTGCATCTACAGAAATGGGATTTTCTTTTAAGAGCAAAAAATTTGTTCTTACATCCCAGGCCCCAATAAGAGCAGTGGGGAGGAAACAGCTAGAATTACAGCCACAAGTCAATTACTTAATGATACAAATGCTGGTATTTGTGCTGGCAAAAGAAAGGTGGATGGAATTTTGTGGGCCGCATTTGGACCTGTAAAAAGGGAAGCCACACTCGAGCCCAGCTGAAAAACTTGGCCTAGAAGTATTTAGTTCAGAAATAAAAGGGCAAAAATAATATGCACAGTGAAGCGGGATCTGATGTCCCCAGATAAAGTAACTTCGAAGTGGATATGAAACATATTCCACTCAGCTTGGTATCGCTCACAACTCCTGTTGCTGCAGTTTGTCGGGCCCGGCTTTCATTTCAGTGTATTTGCCCTCTAACTGCTGCTCGTTACAGTGATATCTGCTGGATCTGGGTTGTTTCATCCCAACTGAAGTCATTTGGTGTCACTCCGTGAGTGGCTCCTGCAGTCCTGCTCCCTGGGAAATGAAGATAAAACATGCTCTTGTGGGTAATTACAGATTAGTTTCACCAATGTCTGAGTCATTAAAAGGGCTTCCGCCGACAGACCTTTAGGCTACATCTACGCTTCTTGCGCAAGAACAGCTCTTCTTGCGCAAAAACTTGCCGGGTGTCTACACTGAACGCACGTTCTTGTGCAACTGAATTTACAGTACAGCATCGGAAAACAGGGCTTCTTCCGGAAGAGGAATAAGCCCACGAGGAATAAGCCCTCTTGCGCAAGAGCTCTTGCGCAAGAGGGCAGTGTAGACAGGCAACATGAATTTCTTGTGCAAGAAACCCCTATGGCTAAAATGGCCATCAGAGCTTTCTTGCGCAAGAGAGCGTCCACACTGCCATAGACACTCTTGGGCAAAAGCACATGCCAGTGTAGATGCGCTCTTGTGGAAGACTTTTTGCGCAAGAACTCTTCCGCAAAACAGTTCTTGTGCAAGAAGCTGCCAGTGTAGACGCGCAAGAAGCTGCCAGTGTAGACGTACCCTTAGTGTTTGCAGCTCGAAATCTACAAGATGGCCTCTCTAATCCACAATGCCCAGTGTCCTCTTCTCAAAGCACCTGTTGCATTTTAACCCCTTTGCATATGTGAGAGCCACGGATGTTTCTCAGGGACGGTTGGTAGACTCTGGAATGACTCATCCCAAGTTCTACTTTTCAGCTTTCTACACTGCAAAATATGGCTACAAAGTCTGCCTGAGGATTTATTTGAATGGCGATGGAACAGGGAAAGGAACACATGTCTCTCTCTTCTTTGTTGTCATGAAAGGGGAGTATGATGCTCTGCTACCGTGGCCTTTCAAACACAAGGTAAAAAGAACAGACTTCTCTTCTTCATCATGCTGAGAGGGTTTCTTCTGTGCCTGTTTTCCCGCTTTGGGGTATCACAGCGATTTTCCTGAACCAAAGTTCAGAAAAGGGCAACAAAGATAATGAGCGTATGGAACAGCTGCCGTATGAGGAGACTGGAACTTTTCAGCTTGGAAAAGAGATGACTAAGAGGGGATATGATAGAGGTCTATAAAATCAAGACTGGTGTGAAAAACATGAATAGAGAAGATTTATTTACTCCTTTCCATAACATAAGAAGTAGGGGTCACCTAATGACATTAATAGGTAGCAGGTTTAAAACAAGCAAAAGGGAATATTTCATCACATAGTTAACTTGTGGAACTCCTTGCCAGAGGATGTTGCGAATTCCAAGACTTTATCAGGGTTCAAAAAGGAGCTAGATAAATTCATGGAGGATAGATCCATCAAGGGCTATTAGCCAGGATGGGTAGGAATGGTATCCCTAGTCTCTGTTTGTCAGAAGCTGGGAGTGGGTGACAGGGGATGGGTCACTTGAGTACCTGTTTCTGTTCATTCCCTCTGGGGCACCTGGCACTTCCATTGTCAGAAGACAGGATAGTGGGATAGATGGACCTTTGGTCTGACCCAGGTTGGGTGTTCTTATGCGCTTATGGGTAAAGCAGCCTTCCCTCCTGATCCCATGCTGTAAGCCCAATCCTGTTCCCACAAATGTCAAACATAGTTTTTCCATTGGGCCCAGTGGAGCTGAAGCATTGCTCCATCCCCCTCTCTGATCACAAGAAGCCATGCTCCAATCCAGGGGCAGAATTCAGCTTTCCATAGGCTGGGATGGTACACAGAGGGAATTGCTCCTCTTGAGATTTCACGTCTCTGCTCTGTAACACATGCAAGAACCCAGAATCTCAAATATATCTTGAAACTCTGGGTTTATTAGAGCGAACACTTTGTCTGGGATTAAGCCAAAGCCTGTTGTTATTACTATATCTCCAAATACTGAGAGAGTACAGAATTTAGAAAGGAAGTATGGCCTAGTGGTTAAAGCATAGCGTTGGCTTCAGAAGATTTGCATTCTGATTCCATCTGTGCCATAGACTTCCTTGGGCTATCTACTCTGTGTCTTATTTTCCCCAGTTGCACACGTAGCTTGATGATAAGCAACAATAAATTAAAGGAAAGAGAGAAAAAGTTTAATGAGGTTCTGATCCCTGTTTTAACATCGATTGTCTTGAGGCAATAGTTTGTAAGCCTATTCTATAAATAGTTATTGTGCTAACCAACCAGCCAAAGAGACTCAAAGTTCCTAATCCATATCACTTTTAAAAGGTGGTTTTATATTTTATAAGACAAACCAAATGACAGTAAGTTAATAAAAGTTATAATGAGCCGGGGAAATTCTAGACTGATATTTATTTTGTTCATCCTTCCTGCATGTTCATAAACAGTAAGTTGAGCTGTCTAATTCAAAGCCAAATGACAATAATAGAGTTAATTTAACAGTCTTAACACAACTCATGGGTTATTGTTTAAATTGTCAGGACAGAGGGGGAGAGGGAAAACATTGCCCTATGTAATTCTCCATCTAGACAGAATTTTTGACTTCATTTTATTTTACAAGTGGCGAAGTTTTAAACACTTGATCTGGGAACCCTTATAATCTCCTTTGTTCTCAGTAGTTGACCTTGCCAGCTGGGAAACTTTCGTTTTAGTTTGTGTTTAGTTTTCGATAGAGCATCCAGCTGTGTTTTGCAGCACACTTGCACTTGTCAAAATGCACTGAGCCCGAATGCTTTTGTGTCTTGGATTTTTGTTAGTTTCGAAATGCAAAAAAATCATGATTGTGCCTTTCTTCCCTCGATTATCTTTCAGGTCACATTTATGATGCTTGACCAAAACAACAGAGAGCATGTAATCGATGCTTTTCGTCCAGATCTGACTTCTGCTTCATTTCAAAGGCCAGCGAGCGACATGAACGTTGCAAGTGGCTGTCCCATGTTCCTCCCTTTGTGCAAATTACAGTCACCCAAATATGCCTATGTCAAAGAAGACACACTTTTCCTTAAGTGTATTATAGAAACAAATTCATAAACCCTGGGATAAGGGTACTTGCCAATACACCCATGTAACCCCTTCAAAGTCTGCCTAGGGGGAGCCGTCAACATGAATCCTTGCGTGTATTTTCATGCCTACTCAAAATCTAGCAAGTCGGATCCTTGCAGATAAAGTCATCTACACTTGCTGCATATTTACCTATTGTGTTTACTTTCTCCATAGAGTGTTAATTAAGCATGTCGCCTCCTGGCATCAGTACAAGTGCCCAGACCTATGTTGTTGCAAATTTCCAAAATAGTGTTTTAAAAAAAACCCAGTTGATACTCTTGAGTTCCAAACTGAGGGACAGATTCTCGTCAGTCCTAGTGCAGGTGCATGTGGGGGGTTGGTAGAAGGAGCAAACCTCTTTCTGCCGGTTTAGGCCTTTCCCTTCCTCCCACACACACACATGTCCAAAGGGCTGGCCAGATTCCCAGTGGAGCATAGTCCCTGCTCCTTCCCAGTGCTCCTGTGGTTGACAGATTTCTGGAAAGGAAGCGGTGAAGGCTTAGCCTTAACTCCACCCCTATGGAGAGAAATGAGCGTGCTGTATGCTCTCCAAAGATCTAAATTCTTTCTGCATTGGGATTCAGATTTTCCAATCAGTCACACACACAGATGCATGAATGGGTGTGTAACGTTGAAAGGAGTGGGTTGTGGCTGAACATTCATAACTTGAATTCTTTACGCTGGATGATATGATTGGGGTGGATTTTATATACACTGCATAAATATTCTTTCACATTAGCCATGTGATTGTTGGATTCAGCCAGATTGTATTGTGTCTCTTGATTCATTACGATGCATTCATTCATTGCTCTTACTAAAGGGAAGAGCTTGACTCTAGTAGGTGAGAAGAGGGAGTTCCCATCGTGAGCCTCAACGCAGTCCTACTTGCATCAAGAACCCTACATCCATGAGCTCAAGTCACAGATAGGTTGTGTCGGTGGTTTTTTTTTTAAGTGCCTGAGCTCTTTCTAAAACTCCAAAGCACGTGAGTTTATTGTGCAATATTTATTTATTTTGTCTTTTTTCTTTGGTTTGTTTTTTTTTTTTTTTAAATGTGCTTTGATCGTGAGAACTTCCTCTGGGTCACAGCAGTTGTAAAGACGCCGCGGTGGAAACGTTCACGAGAAAAGTGTGTGGCATTTATTTTTTTAAATAAAGCTAAGAAATGAATAAAAAACCTGCAACGCTGGAAAGGCTGGGAACTGTTATATAATATGTATATAGTAGTGAAATACAACCCTCTATCCCAGAGAGAAAGCTACAGACACCCCCTTTGTCTCTAGACCATTTGTTCTCCATCCGTGCTCCCTCAACCTCGTCGCCTCATCAGCACCTGCTTTCCCTTCTTACGGGCCATGCTGGGTGGGATCAGTGCGGCTCTTTTTGCTTTTGTTCCATAAGTGCCTGAACACCCAGCCAGAACCATGCTAGCATTGCAGCCTGTTTATCTTAAGGCAGGGGTGGGGAACCTAAGGCCCAGAGGCTGGATGCACCCCCTGGGTTGCCTGGATCTGCCCCCAAGTCTTAGGGCCTCCCCCAGCATCGGGGAGCCCACACTGACACACCCCCCCCCGCCACCTCCCCACAACCCCTGGCCTCTGACTGATTTTTCAACTGCCCCCAACCCAAGAAAGGTTCCCCCCACCCCTGTCTTAAGATTTTCTATAGCACCGCTCACTATAGTATCTAAGCACTTTGGACTTGTGAATAACTTTGCACGAGTGTCCCCTTTGAAATCTATGGGAGTACTCGTGAGTAAAGTTACTCATGTGCTTAAGTGTTTACAGGGTCCTGTCGGCTGAGCAGCCTCAGTGGGCCACTGAGAGGGATTTTGAACCCTTTAACCATTTGAATCAATCCTGCTATGGGCTCCGAGAGCGTCTCCCAGCGACTGTTAGTGCCCTGTTAAGAGCAAATTGAATAATGGACGCTGAGGAGAATGGAACAAAACACCCAGGAAGGAAGAACAGAGTAGCAGTTGGTCAGGGAAAACAGAAAAGACAATCCCGTATGAAATGAGAAAGAGAGAGACTGCGATTCTCCAGTAGGTTGCAGGGCAGTGACTTGTTTTTGGATTGATGCTCTCTCCAGATTGCAGTGGAAACTCCTGCCCCAGACAAATTGTTTAAAAGCCCAGACACTGCAAGAGATCCTCTTGGTGCCACAGCGAAGGAGTCTGCTTGAGACAGAGGCTGCTTCCCACGTCCGCTCGGCTCTGGAAATTAACTTTTATTGCATACGTCAGAAGTGTTGGGAAAATCTTTCTGACATCATGTAACCTTTTTTTCATGGGAAATTTAATGGGCAGGGATTTAGGAGAAATGTGAAGGAAAATATTGGAATACTCCAGGGCAGTTCCAAAGAACTGCCATTGAATTTGAAATCTTTAAAGAATGATGGGCATTGGGCCACAAGGGAGAAAGAGAAGCCTATCAAAACCCTATTGCTTGAGACGCTGGAAACTAGCATTTACCATTACTTCCTAGTGAACAATTTTGCATGAGAAGGATTTGGGACTATAGTTAAACTAATGATCTTTTCTACTGCTGACTCTGAACTCTGCAAGTCACGTCTCTACTAAAGGGATCCTAAAGAGCAATGTAATAAGCCTTATTAAACACTGCATTATTTACAATACCAGTGAAGTGAAGTGAAGTGAAGTGAAGTGAAGTGAAGTGAAGTGAAGGATAGTTAACCACTGGAACAGGTTACTAGAATTTCTGTTCTTGGAAATAGTTAAGACCATGTTGACAGACTTCAGTCAGAGTGCTCTAGCAACACTTAGTCCTGCCTTAGCCGAGGGGGGTGGGGAATTAGATGACTCCTCGAAGGTCCTTTGAGCCCTACAGTGATATGAAATGCACTCTTACATGTTGGGTCATAACAGCCCTTAACATTGACGAGCATTATGAATGTTTATTACGAGGACAATAGGTCTTTGACTGGACTAAAGAAAGTAAAGTGCCAAAGCACATCAGACGATAGCCTTTAAAAAACTCCAGAGAGTATTTTCATGGTGACTCTTTGCAACCTCCACTTCTTTGTGACAAGTTGCACATGGTAAGTAGCATCTCCGCACTTGGAGTGCATGGAAGTTGCCAGTTGTTTATCAGATAAACTAGTGAATGAGTTCCACAGAGAAATCTGTATTTAATAGATTAAAGTGATTCAATGTGACATATAAGTGGGGGCCTACCAAATACACAGCCATGAAAAATATGTAATGGACCATGAAATCTGGTCTTTTGTGTGCTTTTACTCTGTACTGTACAGATTTCACGGGGGTGACCAGCATTTCTCAATTTGAGAATCCTGACCCCAAAGGGAAGTGCAGAGGGGTTACAAGGTTATTGGGGGGTGGGGTGGTTACAGAATTGCCACCCTTACTTCTGTGCTTCCTTCAGAGCTGGGTGGCCAGAGCATAAGGGTGGCAATATCATAATATGCCATCTTGCTCTGTTGCTAGTGGCGGCTCTGCCTTCAGAGCTGGGCTCTTGACCAGCAGCTGCTGCTCTCCAGCTGCCCAGCTCTTAAGGCAACAGTGCAACAGTAGTGCTGAAAAGTACCAGTATCACATCCATAGTTCACAAGAATCTCCCCCCCTCCAAACACACACACACTTCTTTTTGGGTCAGGATCACTACAATTATAACATTGTGAAATTTCAGATTGAAATATCCTGAAATAATGAAATTTACTATTTTTAAAATCCTAGGATTGTGAAATTGACCAAAATGGTCCGTGAATTTGGTAGGGCCCTAGGTATAAGCTTAAAGACATTCTGGAGCCATTGTGGAATAGCTTGTTTCATTCACAATAAACTGGCCAGCATTGTTTTACATGGAATTTAAAAGGACTGAGTCTGCCTGACAGAATTATTTTAAAATATGGACTTTAAAATATTGCTTATAAGTGCTGAATTTTTGGTAGTGCTTAGGAACAAAACAGAAGGGTGGCAGAAAAAATGGTTGTGAGTTGTAATTAAAATAACTTGCAGTAGTATTGTGAGGAAAATCTGAGCCATTTCTTTTTATAGAAATGGAAATTAAAGTTCACTCCTTACAGAAAATGGGCATCAGATCATTCAGATGCAAAACTAAATATTTAAAGAGATGCTGTCATCATCCTAACAGGTGAGTTTGGGCACAAAGTTGATAATACAGCCCCGCATCCTGAATTAGATTAGCTTCCAGAATCAGGGCCCAGAAGAGTGAAACGGTCTCATTAAACTGTTTTATTCATTTTAATCGAAAAAAACTTTTTGCATGCCAGAATATTTTCCCATGCAGTCCTGGCTGCCCAAATACCCTAATGCTGTGTCTGATTTGTGAGGAACAGGTGAAATTGTTAGTCTGCCTTTATTGTGCAAGCTGAGTGAAATGCAAACCAGAGCTAGACATGCAGCAGAAATGCTGACAAGTCCCTTTACTGTTAATAAGCTAAAGTGTTTTTGCTGACGTAGGGCTGGATTTTTTCTAATCCCTGTGTTTATATCTTGGCAGTGCCCTTTTCAGTAATTAGTTGTAATGACATATCAGATTTCCAGAACTACAGACAAATAACTGTCTAAACTCTCAAAGGAGATGGGTGCTCTTGTTCTCTGGTCTAGGTTTAATATTATGCAAGCATGTTAAAAATGTTCTTTTATGAGCAGAAAAGGTATTTGTCCATATGACCACTGTGAAGTAGTGTGTGAAAAAATTACTCTTTGCAATAACCTTTGTAACTTTTCATTGGAGTTTTTACATCAGCCGTCCATATTTTCATGCTGCTTATTTATTTCCTAAATAAAGCTAATGACTCTTTTAAAAAATTGTGAGCTGGTTTTAAAAAATGGGGGAGAGGCCTGAATTAGCCATTTGTTTACAGCCCCAGTTCAGCCCCCATCTTGTTTGTGTATATGGTGGTAGACCCAAATGCCCCGGCCAAAATGAGGCTACTGGTCTGTTTGGCACTGCACAGACACATACGAACAGACAGCCTCTGTCCTCAAGAGCTGAACATCTCAATGAGCTGGATCCCTAGTGGGGAAAGGAAGTGTTGTGAGCCTCCTTTTGCAGTTGGGGAATCGAGGCACAAAGAGATGAAATGACTTGTCCCAAGTCACACACGAGGTCAGTGGCAGAGTTGAGAACTGAATCCC